TTTCAATAAAACCTGTACTATTTACACCTATGTTTTAGAGGCTTGCAATTTTAGAACTAATACACTTGATTGTATTGGGTTACTCTTATTCTGACTATTTGGTGATGTAGTTCAGCCACCTGGTATTTCCCTCTCCAAATATAATGATCATCAGAGTGAGCATTCTTAACTTATAGGCTATTGTGCCACTTCTCCCCCATTCGGAATGTGACTGTATCAGAGAAGAGGTAGGCCTATGTCAAAAGAAATCTCATTTGCAATAGAACTGTACCAGATATTTCCATACAACTACTGGTTAGTGTTCAATAGCACCCTAGACAATTCAGTAATGGTATATCTTTTAGGGATTTCTGTTTTTCTGATAAATGAGAGAAAAGTGATTGAGTCCTATTTCCTATCAACAAAAAGTACAATTTCCGTCTAAACTAAAGCTAAGTCTACAGGACTATAATTCAGTATTTCTTTTGTTAAATAACTTTCTGACTATTTAGTGATGTAGGACAGCCACCTGGTTCATCCCTCAGCAAATCTGAAGAGGAGAAGAGTTGTCATTCTCAGGTTATGGGATTTTTTGTCACCTTTCCCACATTCGGCCTGGTCTAATTTGGCTCTTTTTCAGGGATTGGGGTAGTTCTAAAGAACAACCCAAAAAACATTTTTTCCCCCAAAATAAAATTTGACAACAATCAATTTCATTAATGGGAGACCCTAAAGATAAGAAAAATCATTGTTGTCATTTGTTCTACCTCGGGTAGGGGTATCTCAAAATCTGAGGGGCCCTTCCTGCTGGACTAGTATGGTTTAAGAATAAACAACATCTAATTTTTGAATGTATGAATGTCACTAAGTCAATAGACATTATGATTCTGGATTTTTTTTTTATCCATGATGATGATAACCAATTATCAAATTGATTGGATGCCAAGGATAGTTTTTATTTTAATTTGATTAATTCTAGTTCAGTGGTCAAAAAAATAAATATTTACAGTTACCTTTTTACCTAGCCTACTACGATATTAAATGTATCATGCTATCAGGAATAGAGTAATGGCTATTATGTAACTTTATGCTGCCTTAAAGGTCCCATGTCATGGCCATTTCTACTGATCATAATTCCATTGTTGAGGTCTACTAGAATAGATTTACATTGTTCAATGTTGCAAAATCACATTGGTTTCTCATACAGCATCTCTGTATGGTATGTGTATTCACTCTCTGTTCTAAACGGCTTGTTGGAGCTCCTGCCCCCTGTGAATGAGGTACACGCTCTTGAATAAAGATAGGGAATAACCCCCATAGAGTTCAGGCTGAGAGGAAATCCGCGGAGCTGCGGCTGAGAAAAGATAAGGCTGAGTGAGTGTGTGGACCAATCCGCGTAGCCGTTACGTCACTTTGCCCCTTACGTCACTACGATCCAGGAAGAAAAAATTGAAAAAGAAAAATGTCCAACGAGGCGTTCTGGGGCAGTATAGACAGGTCTATTCTGTGTTAGAGTTTTACTCGCTACAGGGTGTACTTTGTGGGTTTGTGACTTTGCAGACCGTTTACATACAAAAAGTCACATAACACACAAGGGGACGGGTAATAACCGGAGAAGCATGACATGGGACCTTTAATGATTTCCTTTTGCATTAACTCACCATTTGTAAATGAATTATTTTTCAATTTTACTTTTATGTAACTTCTTTGAAGTTTATTTGTAATGTCTGATAATATTGAATTAACAACCCTGGCTTTTTGGTTACAACACCTAGCTGGAGTTCTCACTGAGGTCAGACGCCTGATAAGATAACAAGCAAAACTTTTTATTTCATTATGCTTTAAAAAAAGATTGACAACATTGTGTAAAAATATATATTCTTTATTAAACTAGTAGAAAAATAAATGACAAACCACAGAAATATCTGATAACTGAAAGTAATTACGCTGCCTGCTTATTCATCCAGGAGATGACTTGTAAATTCACTTCCTCTAAGACAGACTCCTCCGGCCTTCCCTTCACTGTCAGTCCATGGCTGCCTCCTTTCAGCCAGAAAACCTCCACTTGAGCTTTCATTTCTTTAACCATGCCTTCAAAAAGGACCTGGGTAAAGGCAGAAAGCTAAATCAGAAAAACAGACGAATAAACAAACAAACACGTATTGTTCACAGGCTGGGACAAAGAAATAATACAAAAACAACCAATGAAACATCGTAGGATATAGTCCATATTATAAATAGTAGAACATTTGACTGAACAATTGCAACAAAACAGGATAGAGTATAAGAAGGAAATATTTATCTGAAATTGGCAAACTGGTAGCATAAAAAACGTACGAATAAAAAGCTAAAAAAATAACTATAATAAAGATAAGTAACACACATAAATATGTAAACACAACATGAAAATCCTACAACTGTATGTATGACATTTCAAACTTAAGAGCCTGCCCAACTGCCTCACCCTGTCACACATGTTGTCCTCAGTGCCGGACACACACAGCACAGACATGTGTTCAAGAAGGCCTCTGAGATCTTCGCTCCGTTGCTGATGCACGTGTTTCTGTCCCGGGGGGTGCAGGGGGAAAGACAGGCAGATGACACCCTGCACCGCGTCCTCAGATTCATCACTCAGCTGCCTAGCTAAAGCTGCAGCAGCACGACATCCCATCGACCTGCCTGTGGACAGGTCATAGAGAATTTGAGAAAATAAATAATTGCTAGTAATGCAGTCTTTTTTTTTTGTTGCCAAGCACAATATTAACCAGGGAATGTTAATTGGAAGAATTACCAATACTGAAATGGATAATTCTGTTGTAATACAATGTGCACAAAGTAAACGCCCACACCAGAATTGACTATCTCACATTGTAAAATTGGCATACCTGTATTTATTCCATGTGAGGTAAAGTAAGTCTACTGTTAAACTCACCTCCGACAAAAATGTGCTTTATGGCAAACTTCTGTTGAGATTTCAGGTATTCCTAGAAAAAATAAAAGAAGTTTTGTGTGTAGAGCATCAAACTGATTTTCAAATAAAATAATTAGCTAGTAGCCTACTTGAATGAATGAAAATGCTTACCAACACAGCACGGTAAGCCTTTACTCTATAACCCAGGTTTAAAGCTTTGCATGTGAAACGGAGACAGAAGAAACCATCTGAAGCTAAGGCATGTGCAAGAGAAACCAGATGTTTGAAGTTCATGTCGCCACCAGCCCCATGTGTGAGAATGACGGCCGTGTGAACATCTGTTACTGAGGAAGGGAAACACAAGGCAGCATCCAGGTGCTTTGTTCCAAATGGCACCTTCACTGTTTCCTGAAAGTAAGTGAGCATCATCTTTAACCTTTCACATCAAGCTGGGTACAAACATATGTGGAAGATGATTAACATGGTTCTTACAGTCATTAAAAACCTGGAAAAGTCATCGAAATTAAAAATGCTAATTCCAGGTCCTGGAAAAGTTATGGAAAACAATATTTTTTCCCAAAGTTTTGGAAAAGTCATGGAAATGTAACTAAAGTTGCATCAAATATAATTTATATTTTATCTAATCGCCGAAATAGTAATACTATAATGATTTTCCTGTTCCATGTTAAAATAGACAATTTTCAGTGATACTGCTGAGAGTAATTTTTTGGTCATGGACAATTAGGTAAAGGTGGGTCATTGAAAATCATTGGTGAAAAAGTGTATGTATATTATCAAGATATGAAATAAACTATACCTTGCAATATTTGTTTTACCCAGCACACTTTCAAGTTGCAGTACTTTAACTTAAGGGGAAAATATCCTAATCTTCTTTCCTTCCCTGTAAATAAAGTATCCTCCTGCGTTTAAGATGGATGCAATACTCAACACACTGAAGCAGTTCAGACTGGAGTCTTACTGCAACCAGTTGGTCCAGTTAGGCGTGAAGGAAACAAGAGATTTCCTGGATAGTGTTACAGATGAAGATCTGGACAACATGGGTGAGATGAACTTCAACTTGAAATCCAAGACTGTCAAACATGCAGCTGACACTCAGTAGAAAAAACAGTTACACCTACATCTAGTGTTTCTAAGCCTGGAGATGTAATTCACTTACATTTTCATTCAAAGTTGTATCTGATTTAAGGATTGTTGACACTGTTTGACATTTCTAAGGCCTCATTATACTTTCAATGTCATTCACATTAAAATAAAGAAGTAAAAACAAGTCATTTTAAGTTAAATGTTGTTATAAAAATGATATACTTAATTAATCCGATAACTTTTTCACAGGTTTGAGTCATGTTGAGAAGAACCGCTTTTCGGCAATGAAAACCTCCATTCAAAGAGCCAAGGAGCACCAGGTTCAAACTGTGACGCCTGTACAAAAACCCATGGAGTCGTTCTATCTGAAGTACACATTCCCCAAGTGTCGTAAACCAAAAACAATTAAAGGTAAGAGAAACACATTTCTGATAATTGGATGCACTAAAGCCATCCGCTGACTTTTTTTATCGCGGAGTTGGCTGTTTTATTTTAGAAATGAAATGTGATCATTGCACAGACATATTGAGAGCTTCACACAGTGGATATTTTGATCTAACAGATATGGATCCAGCCAAAACCACAGTTGAGGATCTGATGTTGAGGATTTGCCATCTTGAAAGTGTTGGTAATTCCAAAGGAGTCTGTCTCTACACCATCGATGGGATGCCCTTGACAGATGATCCCTTCTTCAACACATGTGAGTAAACCTGAACTGCTCATAATAAAATGCATATTAGCAAGATCTTTTTACGGTTCTGTATCCAACAGTGACTACAAGGGTATGGAAGCATCCGTAATGTTGAACCATGACTCGGCTCTTCTTTGTATTGTAAGAAAATGTTTGTTAACAAGTCCACCATGTCATTTCAAATGTTGTTTTGCTTACAGACATATTGAAAATGGAGCTGTGATTTATGCAATCTTTACGCCAAGGGAAAACCTGAAACAGTTTCCTCAAACACCAAAGCGAGAGGTTGTTGAAACCCTTGGAAGCGATATTGTTCGATGCCACATCATGCTCAAGGTGGGTCTAAAAATTGTGATCATTAAGCAACTAATGATGATATTAACATTTGATAATATGTTTGATTTATGGCCCTATTTTTTATATAATTCAATGACCAAATGATATACTTACAATCCAGCACATTAATATTTACTTATTACATACAGGGAGAATTTCAGGTGACGGTGAAGTTGGCAAGTGACACGATATCGAGTCTGAGACTCAAGCTGAGTAACAAAAGTGGAATCCCAGAACATGTCCTTCATTACAAGTAACTATCTAATAGTCACACCAATGCTGATTCTTCTTTCTCAATACAGGCAGATTACATTTCTCACACAGTACTTGTGTTTTCTCCTGTACAGAGGTCCACAGGATGGTGGTGACACTCTGGAGAGATGTGGGATCTCTGAAGGGTCAACCGTTAACTTCTCTTTGTCCTCATTTCCTCACGAGACTTCATACAACGAGACATTTTTCATTAATGATTTTTTGCCTTCAGTCCCACAAACTCAGAAAGGAATCAGTGTGTTCTTGTCTTGACTTTATGCTGTTGTAAGTATCAATGTATAGAACATTATCAGTGCACATTTCAGAACCACTCTACAACTATTGGATAAATTGCTATGACATTTATTTTCCCCTTCAGAAGGAATCAGAATAACTCTTGTGATTGATTAACTGTTTATCTAGCATCTTTAAACTAAAGTCCAAAGTTGTCAAATATTTTGAACTGTGACCTCAGCTGCCAATTGCATTCAGTGCTGATAGGCAAAT